CCCTCCCTCTTACTCCCTCCCTCCCTCTTACTCCCTCCCACTTACTCTCACTCCCTGCCTCTTATGTCTCTTTCTCTCCCTTCCTCTTTCTCTTTCCTTCCCTCATTCCCTTTCCCCCTCTTTCTCTGTCCCACTTCCTTACCTTCTCTCTGATCCTCACCATTTTACTCTCTCTTTCCCACACTCTTTCTCTCTCTTCATCCCTTCATTTTTACTCTCTCATTCACTTCCTCTTACTCCCTTCCTCCTCCTTACTGTATCCCGGTACTGTGTAAAGAGAAGTTGTAATTAGAGGATCCTTCCTCTACAGTCCGCAGTAATTATTTCATTTAATTGTAAATTACTGATAATTGAAAAAACTTAGTTTACGGCCTTCTGCATTTGTTACAACGACAAAAGGCTTTTCATTTTAAATTACAAGATAGATTTGGTGCAATACACGATTGAAAACGCGTTTCCACAATTAAAAATTGTGAACCATTATTTCATGTTTGTTTTGTATTCGTCTTATGAATTGGTTTTAATCGACACCTGATTTAGATGATCCGAAAATGAATTTTGTTGCATTTTGTGAAACGTCTAGTTATAATCAACGTTTCAGTAGGTTGGAAGAACATTTCCTTGAATACGCCCTACATTCTATATTTTACTCATAGTATACTCGCACATACACTATGTTGAACGAATTATACGCTTGGGTGAGATATTTTTAACGCATGCCTTACTAATTCTAATATAAAAGGATATATTATACTGTTTTCTTTATACATACTTATTAGATGAGGAAATGAATATCGTTAAAGCATTCTTATCTTGAGAATATGTACATATGTTGCACCATAAAAATGATAAGTAAGGAACGCATGCTTTCTTTTAATGTCAATTGTAACATTATAGCAATGTGGTACGTGTGGTCTGCTGGGCGCTCGTTACCACAATCCAGCCAGTTACTGCATCGTTTTGTTCCCAGTAGTGATGATGCATTGACGTTATTAAACAGTTGCCTCAAAGGGGGGCCACTAATGAATTAATCTCCTCTTTATCGCGATTATTATGATTTGCAACCTAAAGTACCCATCCTCGGTCTGCCTAACATTCAGCGTTCGGATTATAAAGCCAAAATTCAACAATTCTATATGTGTTTATTTTCTCGGCGCGGTGTGCATTTTAGTATAAGAGGGATTAACACAATTCGTGCCAATATATAACGGGAAATTATCAGCTTAAATTTCATTACAGTGTGCAACACACTGGACAACTTCATCGCTTTATGTAAACAATTAAATTATGGAAAATACTTTTTTATAAAGGAATAGACACTTGAAAAACAAATATGCCAAGAGGTAACAGATAAACCTGAAACGTTAATAATTTAATGAAGAGGCTAATAATAATTAATGTAAAGACCATAATTAGTTTGCCTTTTAAAACCTTTTATTCAAGAAGTAGACCCATGTTTCGTCAGCCGCTAACTCTCTTGAATTCAAGACAGTATTTAAAGACCGACTTAATCGATTTGAAGTGCGATTAACGATTTAAAGTCCGAAAGTATCGACTTAAAAACTGAGTACATACATAAGAGAATTTAACAAAAATGGTCTGACTTTAGCCTTCCTTTTGAGTGATTCAAAATGTAGGTCTAGTGGTTAGACGAAAAAATATGACGGTAGGTCTTACTCTAAAAATACATTTAGATGGCTTTCGATAGTTTACGAGGGGATCCTCCTACTGATAACGCACTGAGCAGAGAACATGCGGGGAAGTGTCGGCAGCTTTGGTGTGGGGTTTGTCGAGATATGAAGTGACATGTATAAATAAATCCTCTTCTATAATTCCTACGAATCCTCTAGGATGGCTCATGAGCAGCATAATATCTACCCCGTTGTGTGATCCCAGTCGGGGAAAAATAGAGTTGTAGATTTTCTTGAAAATCGTCTACGTTTCTGTAGTTGTGTGACAAAGAAAATCTCAGGCAGGCAGAGTTTGTTGTAACACGTAAGGTTCACAAGCCTCTCTTACCTCTCCAGCGTGGGAATTAAACTAGGTCCCCGGATCGGGGACACAGTTAGCTAACCTGAAAAGTCGAAAAATCGTCCCAAAATTCCAAATACATACATACATTTACCAATGGCATCAAAAGTATCCGGACACGTCGAAAATGGTGTTATGGTGTGGTCATATTTTGCATGGACGGCGCTTGCCCCCTTGTTTTGTGTGGCACTATTATGGCAGTGGCCTACGTGGATATTTTAAAACACCGTCTTGATTCCCACTGTTGAAGAGCAATTCGGGGAATGGCGATTGCATCTTTCAATACGATCGAGCACCTACAACACGGCCTGTGACGGAGTGGTTATACGACAATAACATCTCTGTAATGAGACCATCACAGTGCTGACTTGAATCCTATCGAACACCTTTGGATGTTTCGCTGACTTCGTGCCAGGCCTCACCGACCTACATCGATACCTCTCCTCAGTGGAGCACTCTGGGAAAAATGGGCTAACATTTCCCAAGAAACCTCCCAGCGCCTGATTGAAAGTATTCCTGTAAAAGTGGAATCTGTCATCAAGGCTAAGGGCGGGCAAACACCCAATTGAATTTCAGCAATACCGATGGATGGCACCACGAACTGGTAAGTCATTTTATGCCACGTGTCCGGATTCTTTTGATCACATAGTGTAATTCCCACGAAGATGACGATTGCGCTTCCATTCATTGCAGCCGGAGCGGCTGTCTATCGCTTGCAACAACGCGCCAATGGGCGAGGAACTCACCCTGTGGATGGTGCCGGTCTCCAGCTCGAGGTTCCGCTTGGCGCTGGCCATGCCCACGCTCAGCTGCAGCACCTTCACGTTGGCCGGGAACAGCGTCGTCAGCGAGCAGTTGACGTGTTTGCCGTAGTTACGCAGCGTGTACACATCCGAAGTGCCCTCCAGGAGGATGTTGCACGCTGCCAGGCAAAAACACTATCAGCCTCTGGTGGCAGCTGCGTTAAACATGGTCTTCTGGCGACGGTAAGAAACAATTTACCTTTCATTCCCCCTACTTTAACATATCGTGTATACGTTAGATGTGTTTGATCATCGTATTTTGCTGTTCCGAATTTTAAAAAAATGAAATACACATTCACAATGACGTTATTTTTTTAATAAATGTATCGGATCATAAAGCAGACATTAAACAAATTTTCCATGTTGAAACATGTTTGAATTGTCTGTTGTGTCAATTTGTTCACGAAATGAGTTGTAAATTATCGATAAATCGTGTAAATAGATTATCATGAATGATTCATGTTTCCGAAATGTTTAAAATATTTCGGGCTCGACTCAATGTGAGTTGTCTTTAAGCAAATTTTGCGATAATAGTAGTATTTTGAAAATCTGCAATTAATTATTGCTAGATTTATTAGAAGATATAGGTTTGAAGTGAAATACTTTCATTAGTTCACGTTTTCTGTGTGTCTAAAAGTAATTGTAAAATATTTATGTTGAAGATATTAAAACGTATGCAGTAACAATAAGGGAAGAGTTAATTACATTATGTAGAGAAAAAATTAATAGTATTGTTATAGTTGTACCGGACTGTCAACAAAAATGGGGCATAAAATTGTAAATAATACTTCAATTGAGTTTTAAATTGTATCAAAACCACTTTATAGAACATTTTAGACTTCGAGACTTTAACTCAAGGTTAATATTTGCTACTTGTACTAGTTTTTAATTCCAGTGAGCGATAAGGGAGCATGTGTTAGAATAAAATAAACAACATAGGCGAAGGGGAAGATTGCAGTTTGAAGAGCACGTTTTCTAGATCTCACTGGGGAATATAGTAATTCTCTCGCGGCAATAAGTCACTTCCTTCAGGAAGGTCACGATGAGGAATCTGTAGCTGATTTGCCTTTGAAAATATTTTTTATTACATGCGAGCGAGCATTTTCTAATAAATTTTCCACCCAAAACGCTCTAATTAAGCTAGGGATCACAGAACTCAAGGAAACTTGCAGAAAGTAGCCTTCTCCTCAAAGTACGAGTACTTTTCACTTAGATTTTGAATTTAGTGTTCAAGAAATATGCGCATGAAAAATAAATGAAATATACAAATAATTTATTCAAAATATTTTATTTATTTTGTTTATTTGTTTATTTTATTGATTTTTATTAATAGTATTTGTAGTATTTATGGTATTTATGGTATTTATGGTATTTATGGTATTTATGGTATTTATGGTATTTATGGTATTTATTTTATTTATTTATTTATTTTTATTGAAAGTAAATCGCTGAAAGTAGAGGGGCGTGGCGGGGCGTGGGAACTCACGCGTGGAGTTCTTGAGGAAGCGCACGGTGAAGCTGAAGCCGCGCGCGCGCGAGGGCACGCGGAACTGCACCAGCGCCGCGTTCTGCGACGACGTGAAGATCTCCTTGACGCGCCGCTGCCCGCAGAACTCGCGGTAGCGCAGGTGCAGCGGCTTCGGGTGGTCCTCGGGGCTGGGGAAGAACTGCCGGTTCAGCTCCCACCCGTCCACGAACTGCAACACGCGCCCGCCGCCGACACATCGAACGCCAGCCTTCACTCGACGCTGCTCTTTGTTTGGACCCCAAGCTCGAACTTCTACCGCCTCCCCGTTTGTTATGTTTGAAATTTAAAAGAAAAATGATGGATACAAGTTTTCAGAAATATTATATTGATTGATTGATTGATGATTTCGTGTTTCCGGGATCGTCAAATGCTAAGGTCATAAGTATTGTGCATGATTTCCCCCTTAGGGACGTGCTGATGATGGTTCCCCGCTTGATGGTGATATCCAGCGCCAACTTACACGTCGGCTGCGCGGTTTTTTCCAATCGGGTCTCTCTCACCAGCGGAGTACCGCCCCTGCTGAACAAGCTTTAATCTCCGAATTGGTCTCCCGGCATGTGTGGCAGTGTAGTGCTTGTAAGTGGTTGTGCGTGTGAGTAAAAGTGAGTCAAGGGAATGTCGGCGGGCACTCACCGAGACGAGGCACCGCCTTGTGCAGGGCACGTCCAGGTAGTCGAAGTGCAGCTCGATGACGCGGTCGGGGTCCGTGAGGAAGTACACGCCGCACACGGCGCCCTCGTCGTCGGCGCTTTGTGGAAGAACTCGCCCTTTTCGCTCGTCACCGTGATGCAGTCTGCGCACGCGCACGCCGCCCTCGCTCACCCTCGCCCCTCACCCCCCTCACCCCGCCCATGTGTTGCACGAGGCCGCCTGTGCGGTTAGGCGCTGCGTTTTCCGGAGTGCCAAACAACGAATACCAGGCATGTCAACGTAACTTGCTTATCTCGAGATCGCTGGCGATGCTTCCTCAAAGCAACTGGTGCGAGGTTTAGAAGTAAAGACCCGTTCACAATGCAAACGTAATCATAATGGCTTTAACATAAAAGTTAGAACTACTCATTCACAATGCGTTCGCATAAGCATAACACGTAAGACGTTAACTTAATAGCTTGCAAGCTTCTGTGCTTATGCTTAAGTAAGACATAATAAATGAACCAACGGTAACTCAAAATCGAGAATCGAAATTGGAGCAAAGTCGAGAGAAGAACTAACGCCATATGAGCAATGGACACAGTCGATACCTCAAAATCGATTCTCACATCCAACCAATAGTAAACCAAAATGCCTCACATCCAATAAAAATTGTTATTCTGCTTACGTTTATGTTAGACATTGTGAATACTTCAGTCTATCATTTATGTTAATGTTTATGCCTATGCGCTATGCTTATGTTTTCATGTGCATTGTGAATGGGCCTTAAGGGTTGTATAGAGACGGCTGGATTAGGTATATCCTGGCTCATGAAAATATTTGGATACGTCAATCGACAGATATTTTTCCAGATTTAGCCATAATAATTCCTGTTTCCTCCACTGAAGCAAACGAATGATCCATTAAAATGTAATAATATATCAGTTGGGTTTAAAATAGTCAATTGCGACTAAAATCAAACATTTTGAACGGAATATACATTGATTTTGTAATCGTGATTACTTAAGAGCGCCTTAATTGTTTAACTTCCTACACTCAGATTTTGATGTTTAGTTATAGAGACTTGTTAACTTACTTCACATTATTTCTATAGACAACAAATGAGTGGATGATTTGATAAAACAACGCAAAATGAAAACAAGGAAATACTTCACCATACAAACATAATACTACTACTTGGGAAATATATTATTACAAATCAGAATTAAAAAGGAAATACACATGAAGCTGTGAAAGATAGATAAGAATATAAACATTTTTCAAATATCAGTTGTTTACTAAAACAAATTTGGCAAACATATCATATATAACATTTCATATGAAATCACTATTCCCGCCTCGCACTGCTTCATTGCTGCGTTTGTACACCCTTTGTGGATTTGAAAGGGAAATGAGATTGGGCTCAGAAAAGTTGCCTCCGCTCGCAGGGTGCGAGCCAGTAGCTCGTGTGGGCGCGGTTTGACATGCCTGATGTGTGTTCCTAAAAATAAACGTATCGTTCACAGTCGTTTACAATAACAATCGGATAATGTGTAAACTGCATTCGCAGAAACCCCGCAAAGTGTCAGAAAAAAGAACACCTGTAATTTTTATTACACGTGTGAAACAAAAACATTTGTATTCGTTTCACATTCATGTGCTCCTTTGAATACGAAGTGTCATTGGGATATAAATTCTGCTGCGCAACAGACTTCAATATAACCTTAGAGGATTTTGTTTTAAATTTCAGTCTATCGCGTTTTATTTCCCGATAAGCGCCTGTTGGTTGCGTAACACCAGTGATAACCGTAGTAATTTGGTATAAAATGTTGTGACGCAAGGTCGTATCGTTTTGGTAGTGCATCTAGTTGTGAAATCGCCAGATGTAATGCGTAGCTAGTACGTTTTCCGTCGCTGGGTCTCGGATAGAACCCCGACCAATTCTTGAAGAATTTGAGGTCGAAAAAGAAAGCTCTCGCCAGGTTTACTTGGGTGTTTTCCGTTCCCCCTACCCTCATTTCACCCATTCAGTGATACATCATCATTGACGTCATCATCATTGCACCTACCCATTTCTCAAAAGACCAAACTAGCCGTTCAGGTTTGCCTAGACTCGTATGTTAATACAAATAAATCGATGTTGCCTCCCTAAAGAAAATCGTCTGTGACTGAAAGAGTTTCAACATTATTATCTCAGCGGAGAAATATTGAAATCGATTTTCACACATGATAATCCTATTTTTAAAAACACGCGATGAGATTTGGCCACGTATCTTTATTAAAAACAAAGAACTTGAATGAAACTGTGTTATCATAGTTCTAATCCGAATATTCTGTCATTGTAAAGTGAATATGAATATGTGCATTGTGAAAACTGCAGATGACGCGTGTACAGAAAAATGAATACACCTATATTTCCTTTTTATTCTGTTGAATTGATGATGTATGTCACTAATGTTTTCGTAATGTGAAAATAACTGATCGGTGGTATCAAAATTAATGAGTTATCAATTTGAAACATCAGGACACTTTGTCAGAATACATGATGTACTAATTCGGGATTGTCATTCTGCTTTTAAAAATTGCATTGATTAATTAACACGCATTGCGTATGATATGCTTTAATAAGCAATTGAGAATTTCTACGAAGAGAAATGTCAAATAATTAACATTCGATTATAAATATTGACTCCACATTTATGTATATATGTTCACCAATTACTGTCTAAAATATTTATCAGGTTTATTTGCGCACCTAACATACAAAATTGCTAAACCTGCATCTCAGTTTTTGTTGTCTGAATGTCACAAGTTCAATTTCTATCGGAGTAGACCTATTTGTGATAACATCAAGTTAATTATATTATAAGAAATAAGTTTCTTTTCGACATGTCTTTGGAATATTGATTTGGCCCGTAAAGTTTTGTTGGCTCTCACGAATTTAAAGGGAATTCTGCTTTTTAAGTATTTCACTGTTATTAAATATATCGTCCACATCAGTGTTTTGACTCACGGAGCATGAAGTCAGGATATATTTTGTGTTATTAAAGCGTAGCGCAAAAATAATCAGAACTTCATGAATTATTGGGGAGGTAGTAAGGTATATTTAATGTAATCTCATACTCGTATAACTTCAATACAGTGTTGTACATTAAGCACCTCTTCTTAAGTAGGATGGAAGAAATCTTATTTTGGGACAATGCCAACAAACGACCACCGTATTAAATATTTTGTTTGTGAAAAATTTGTAGAACTCGTTTAAGATGTCTATTACCTTTCATAATAATCACGTTCTGCGTGCAATATTTCGTGTAAAACACTCAAATGGGGATAGTGCACTAATAGATTGATTAATTCTACTTTTGTCTTCCAAACTCTTCCCTCGAGTGCAGATCCGCTCTGTATCGGTTGCCGTCGTGCCTCATTCCCCACCCAACCCCCTACAAGCTGACCGCTCCGCAATTCGATTCCGCGCGCCGCCGCCGTTCGCCCCTCGCGCACTGACCTTTGATGATGTGGAAGGGCTCCTCGGAGCGCTTGGTGCGGGCCAGCGCCGCGCCGCCCGCCAGGCCCAGCGCCCCCAGCACCTGCAAGGCACGCACGCACCACCTCTTAGACACGGCACACACCTCTTCTTACGCCCTTTGGAAGCATTTTACTTTTAAAGAAATAATTATAAACGTTGTCATTGCCAACAATAGTATTTTTTAATTATAATAATTAACAATAGTATTTTTAATTATAATAAATACTATTGTTGGCAATGACAACGTTTATAATTATTTCATGAAAAATGCCAACGAACGCACCACAACGCCTATATTACTTTTAAAGAGCTGAAAATTGCAAAATAAGCGCTATTGTGTTATATTTACACACAAATCCGTCTGTGAAACGTTGTACCAAGCAAAAAAAACATTTATTTGATATTATCTATAGTCAATACATTAGCTCAATATGACACGCTCATGTGAAATGTTTTCCACCAAAACGAGTTTGCATGCCTCGTAGAGGCCAGTCCAAAGCCTGTGAAGCGTCATCAACCCTACCCCTATCCACATTCCTTCCCAATCCTGGCCGCTGGGTAGAGACGTAGGAGCGCATGGTAGGAGACGAGTACGCGGAGATGCTACGAGGCGATCGTCTTCACAACTGACTTCGACGAGAGTGAACACTACACAAATAACTACGTAAAATGACTTCTAGGCTGTCTGGGTGACGCCGCGTCGTTAGCAGATAGGCCGACGTTTCGCCTGTCATATCGCAGACTCTTTCAGGGAAGTGACAGTATTAACTACCCTGAAGAAGCCTGCGACATGACAGGCGAAACGTCGGCCTATCTGCCAACGACGCGGCGTCACCCGGACAGCCTAGAAGTCATGAACTTGAGCCGCGGAAGCCTACGTGTATATTTAACTAAGTAAAAGTTAACGGAGGATTGCTCCACGCTCGTTTAGGAGCTCGGAGACGCGTTGCGTCAATATAGACGCAACAATTTTCCTAGGAGTTAAGTGAGAACTCAACTCATTATGGGGTTAAAAATCGATGTTCAAAGAATAAAGTACGTGCGATATGAGACCAAAGTGACCCAATTAACTCCAATACACATTACCAATAAATTCTATAAAGAAACGAGGTCTTATAAGTGTCTGGTAACAATATTTACTTGCAACAATGATGTGGAAGAAGAAATGAAAGCAAGAATAGTAGCGGGAAACTGAGCATATTTTGAATTGGATTAAAATATCTATAGCTTATAGACAGTCAATTTCAAATAAATGTTCTATTGCTTGGCACAACGTTTCTGAGATGGATTTGTCTGAAAATATAACACAATATATTTGCACATTTGCGAGCAAATTTTCCCCTTTTGCAGCTATTTAAAAGTAAAATGTTATCAAAAGGTCCAAAACTTAGACTGTACGAGACAGTGATTAGACCTGTTGTAACTTATGCTGCAGAAATGTGGTCTATTAAAGAAAACGATGCTCAGCGTCTTGCGATTTTTGAAACAAGGTTTATGAGTATATTTGGATCAGGTCATACGCCCAATGGAGAGTGGTGGATTAGGAACAATTCCGAACTGTACAGTATACAAAATATAAAAGCATTAAATTGTATGAAAGCCATGAGATAAAGTTGACTTGGTCATATTAATAGAATGTCGCATGACAGAATAGTGAACAACATCTTAGCTGGAATCCAGTGAGCACCAGGAGAAGAGGACAGCCTAAAACTAGACGGAATGACACCAGGAAAATAAAGATTGGGAATTGCATCGAGCATTCAAAGAATAAGGAGAAATGGAAAAGGATACAAAAGGAACATGCCAATACGTTCATTTGAAGGTCGGCACTACGGCAGTACTGCCTTAGCGATCCTGGCCATCCGGGCCGGTAACATTAAGAGTTTATTTTATTGAAATTAGTAAGAAATGAAATTATTAAGAAAAAAATTATGTGCATATTCCGCAGGGCCTCAGAGGCCCTGCATATTTATTCGTGTCATGTCCTGGGAGCATGCATCCTAGGGTTAAAACTAGTGGGAATGCGCGACATACTGAAACTTACTTAAGCCTCAATGTTATAACTCCATCATTACTCAGATTTTGAGAGTGCATGGCATCTTTAAAAATATTCAATTGAATGAAGTTACGCACAAATCATCCAAGACACAAGAATCAGTAGGGCTGAAAATGGCTTGGAAAATTAGGACATATGTGTTCCAATCTGTTTCCCCCAAAGTAGAGAAAATGAGCAAAATGTAAATGCCCATTCCACGTCTATAAATCTGAAAATTCACATGTAGAACCAAATAAAGTGGCTCAGCCATATTGAAATAAGGAGATCTGAAACCAATCAGAATAAGACTCCCCGGTCGGCAACGACGCTATAAGACCATCAGAGTCTGGCACAGTTATTAGACCGGTTATTGATACTACAATGGCAAGTTATCATTATTTAAGTGAGTTTGAACGTGGTGTCATAGTCGGCGCAAGAGAGATCTCAGAGGCTGCGATAAAATTTGGATACGACCTTTCCACGAGTGTACCGTGAATATCGGGGATCCTGTAAAACATTAAACTGTAAAACTGTAAAACATCGCTGCGGCCGCAAAAATATCGTGCAAGAACGGAACTGATGACGACTGAGGAGAATCATTACACGTGACAGAAGTGAAACCTTTCCGCAAATTGTTACAGATTTGAATGCTGGGCTATCAACAAGAGTCAGCGTGCGAACCACTTGACGAGACGTTATCGTTATGGGGTTTCGGAGTAGAAGGCCCACTCGTGTACCCTTGATGACTGCACGACCCAAATTATCACGCCTCGCCTGGGCCTGTCAACACCGACATTGGACTATTGATGGCTGGAAACAAGTTGCCTGGTCTGACGAGTCTCCTTTCACATTGCTGCGAGCAGATGGACGTGTAAGAGTATGGCGACTACCTCATGAATCCTTGGATCCTTCATGTCAACAGAGGACTGTTCAAGCTGGTGGAGGCTCTGTGATGGTATGGGGCGTGTGCAGTGGGAGTGATATGGGACCTCTGATACGTCTAGATACGACTCAGTCATGTGACTCGTTCGTAAGCATCCTGTCTGATCACTTGTTCCCCTTCAAGTCCATTGTGCTTCCCGATGGACTTGGGCAATTCCATCAGGACAATGCGACAACCCATACGTCCATAATTGCTACAGAGTGACTCCAGGAACACTCTTCTGAATTTAAACATCTCCACTGGCCACCAAAATCCCCTGTCATGAACATTACTGAGCATATCTGTGATGCCTTGCAACGTGCTGTTCAGAAGAGATCTCCACTCCCTCGTACTCTTACGAGTTTATGGAGAGACATGCAAGATTCATGGTGTCAATTACTTCCAGCACTACTTCAGATATTAGAGGAGTCCATGTCACGTCGTGTTGCGGCACTTCTGCGTGCACGTGGGGGTCCTACACGATATTAATCAGCTGTACCCGTTTTGGGGCTCTTCAGTGTATTTCGTCACAGACATACTAAAAATGGTTGTAATATATAAATAACGACAAGGAATCCCACCAATTATGGGTCACCTCCATAACTTCTAAAACAGTCTCGCTAATAAATATTTGCCGCAGTGCAATTTCTTGGCATTCTTCGCATACGCTTTGTTGCCGCCACATTGTAATGCCAATTTAGTTTCAAAGGCAAGTTTTCTCGCTTCGCAAGCCCGGATCCAAGTCACGGCGAGGCTCGGGCTTTTTGGCCCTCGCGTTCACTATAAACAACCTTGAGTCTATCAAACTCATAATTACCAATTCATATTTATACGAAAGGACTTTAATAGTTCACTCTCTGAAATTAATAAAACTGAAAACTCGCCTTAGTCTGTTATTGGGTAAACTTGTATAATCAGTTGAAGGAAATGTCTCAGTCCCAGCCTAACTTTTTCGCATATTATCAGAGAATCACCCGTTCAAAACTTCCATTGTGAACAACCTGACATTCAGTATTCATACCGCGTATTTGCGGCACGTTGTGAATAAAGAACATTACTAGTTTTATTTAGAATCCAATGAAACGAACAGTTAACGGTGAACGAGACTCGTGCCTCAAAATAAGAATGAGCCAGATTATTTCCTGTATTTCATTTGCTCAGGTGCGCTTTATTTACACGAAAACTTTTGATTAGCTTATTTAATCATTATGAACTATCTACAGTACACTTGTACATTGATTTGTGTAAACTCTAAGTCTATTAATACGTTCAATCAGTTGAGCATTATATTTGACTATTACGTATATTCCTAAAAGAATTTTATGCAAGCGAATTGCCAACTGTTAATCATAAGGGAGAGAATCGTTCCTTTCGTTGGCAGCACCGAACTTTTCAATTAACTTTCACGAGCGTCAAGAGTGCAATTATGATTGTCCTGCTCGTAAATTTAATACCAGTTTATTATAATTAAAATCTGCAATTTATGAAATAGGTTTCTTTGTGAAATACGACCAGATAAGAGACAAAGAATTGTTATGAATAACGGATGGTGCCATAAAACGCCTTTCACATTGTGTCCATAATTACTCAACTCATACGTAACATTTGTAGAATAAAAGGATTTTTTCTAAATAATTACAAACTTCTTTTCTGGTTTAAAAGAAGAGTTACCTGAATTAAGTGAACACGTCTCGCATTATCTTGAATGTATTCGTTGATACTGGAGAAACTGGCTAACGGCAAATTGCTTGTCAGCGTTAAGTGGATAAAATGAGGAATCTTCTGATTAGCCTGTTTTTGATCATTTCTTTTCTAGAAACCACGTTCAACTTCCCAGGAGGTGAGATTCTTTTTAATTCCTTTCATGTGAATTATTTTTTAACTCCACCTATTAAATTATACAGAAAAACTATTTTTTAACAGCCATTAGTAAAAACGATAATTTAAGGAAATTCAAAATGTACTAAATGTTTAATTTTTGGCATAAGCACTATTCGGGAGATAATGTTTAAATGCTTAGATAAAACAGTGAATAAACCAAGAAAAAAAAATACTTTCATCAGAACGCATCAGATTCTACAGAGATTAATGGATCTCAGCACCCAAA